CATGTTTGAACAATATTATATTGCATAATAGTATGCTAGGGTTTCGACCACTCACTAGTATACTCATAGCAAGATAGGCAGTTGTGCTACTAAAGAGCCTAAATAATATAAACACAATAGGTAGAATTACAAGGCTTAGAATTAAACAAGGTATTTTTTGTAAAGGGATAAGTCAAGATTTTTGGAAGTATACTGTTGCTGAGATGGGCAAGACTAGGTGGAGAGGCAATATCGCCTGTAATATAGTTGAAAGGTGCAAACAGTTTGAAGTATTTCTTAGTACAGATGAACAAGAGTAGCAAATAAAGGGCATAGGCCCTATGATAGAGGATCTAATATCATCTAAAGTATTCGAAAAGAGTGAAAACTCTCGTATCAAACTAGAAATTTTTTACTTAGGACAAATAATTGATTACGAAGGCAACACACTTTTAACATGGTAACAGCTCAGAGCTCTGAAGAGTAAATGTATAACTGAAATAAAAGCTTAGTGGTTTAGCGAAATAGAAAAGAAGGTTCTGGTTTTGGCTAAGGAAAGAATACTAAAAAGGGAATATCAGCTAGGCCACAGAAATCTAATGTATTTTTCAGTACAGTTTGAGAAATCAAAAATGGACAAGAGATACAAGTCCTGAATAGTACTGAAAGATTAAGATTCAACAGTTTCAGTAATCAGTCGTGCTATAGATGCTAACGGTAAAGATACATACTTTGAACACTGGCTAACAGAGCCCGGTCACAACACAGGGTTATTGCACTGATGTACTGGATATAGTATAAATATAGCAAATGAAGCAAATCAATGTATAGGCAAGAATTCTATTACACAAAACCTTCGCCAAGTTAAAAGTATTGTTAAGAAAGAGAACAAATAGTTTATGCTAATCCCTGCACCCTGGTTTTTCACACCTACTGTTTTTGAGCAAGGTATTGAAGAGAATTTTGTGAAGCTGCAGCCAATCGAAAACATAGACATTACCTTTATTAAAAGTCAGCACTTTAAAACCAAAAGTCGAAAAGTTGTTAATTGAAAACGTAAATTTCAACTTACAAAAAAGAACCAAAAAAACCCGATGTTCTTTACAGATGGATCCTTGATACGTCCAAATGACGAATCCACGAATATTGATCTAATGGGAGCAGGGTGGATACAAATATATATAGAACAACCTGAAGTAGAAGTCACCAGAGGTAGTATAAAGGTAGAAAAGTGGCCTTCATCATTGAGACCCAAACTAGCAGCGATCTGGTGTATGTTATTAACAACATGCTCAGAAAGTACAGTTGAGATTAATATGGACAGTATGGTTGCAATATATAGTATCCAGAAAGTATTAGAAAATAGAAGTTTTAGAGTATCGAGTAAATTAAAGAATTATCTAATCATAGATAAGATACTGGAAACAATTCAGTTTAAAGGGCTCAAAATAGTATTAAACAAGGTTAAAGCACATAGTGGTATTAAGTAGAATGAGATAGCAGACAATCTAGCGAAAGAAGGTGCAGTCTTAGACGAAGACTAGTCAATTTGTGAATTTTTCGGATTTAGATAGCCATTTGGTGTAAGGTGGCAAGACGAACAAGTAGATTCCCCAATAAGATCTTCTATATTTCAAGTTACTGGTATAAAAACTAAAGCAGCTAGTATATGCAAAAGAAGTCACATCTTTATGGCAAAAATGAAAAAGCAGAAGACTTGGTTTGGAGTAATTGTTGAGGAAGATTTAAAGAGTACAGAGGCATGAGATACGACTTAACAGAAAAAAGTCTTAGATTAGTGGGGTATGTCAAAATTTTGTCATGAACACTCCCAACAAAAAGTGTCCTATATAAGAGAAGTCCCTCCATGTATCTGGATCCTATTTGCGTTCTATATGAAGATAATAAGGAGGAAAATACAGATCATCTTATAAAGTGTCAGGCACTAAATGAAACATGGGTAGAAATTGAAAAGTTTAGCATTAGTCTAGCTTGGGCATCAATAGATGAAGTTTATAGGGTAGCTTTAACAGTACAAGAGTTGTGGAGAGCAGTTCTCGGTTCATCACTAGTTGAGAGAGTCAAGACGTGTAGTTTTTTATCAAAGGGTCTTTTCAAACGCAGCACACTTTTATGGTTAAGTAGTATTTTAGAGAACAAAGCCGTAGTACTAGAAACTCTAAAAGCAGCTAGCTTTGGTATGCAAGAATGCTTTCATAGACTGGTATGGAGTGATAGATGTAAAAAATTTATCACATGGGAAAAAGAAAATAATATTGGTGCCGAGAAAAAATGACCAAAGAAAAGCAAAGAAAAGAAAAGACCTCGTGGAAAAGAGAATATTACACCCGGTCCAAGTAGTGGCGTTGCAAACCAATCTAGGATGAATAAGCGAATAAAGATAGTAGGGGTGGATCAATTGGTAGAGTCAGAAGTAAGACATTTGTTAGAGGTTGCGGTAAGACAGAGAATTTTAAGTTCTAACCCACCGAGTTGGTGGACTAAAAGATTGTAAATATTCAATAGGAGCTGAGCCTAGGCTAGATTATATCTTTAAATGTGTCACAATGTATGTGAGATATGGTGGCCAATATCAGTGCAGTAGCCAAACTTGGGTATCTCGAAGGAATAGCCAGGTTTTAGTCTAATTAGATTATTAAATAGCTTAGTATTGTATTAAGTAGTAAATATTTAATAAAATTTTAGTATGCGGTTATCAAAGGAAAAAAAAAAAAAATTATTCATTAGTTTAAACTATCTTTTTTTATTTTTATTTTTTTTTTAATGTTAAGGTGACCTTTTTGTCAACAGCGATTTATTATCATTAAGTATTATTTCAGTATACAACAAGAGTATATATAGCCACATATGCACCTTTTAAGTGCCTAATTTAAGTAGTTCACTCGAAGATTCTACACTATCTACTATACCTGCACCTCACTAGAGGAGTATCTATTTAAACCTTCTGATTATATTCTTACTTTTATTATATAGGACTTAAGACCCAAATGTAATCTCACCATACATACTAAGACATCATGGATCTATACAACACTACTAGATTAATAGCTAGACTTAGGACAGGACTATATGTTCTGATTTATTCTCAAGGTAAACCTGCCAGAGTAGTACATTCCTATATATGTATTTACCTATATTTCAGTAATTTACGCCATGCCTTAATTCATATACTTGGAGTCAGGACTAACTATTAAACCCTACTATTACCTACTTCTACTCTTTTAAGATTCACAGATCTCTGTATTATATTCTGTTACTTTTTGCACTTTACTCCTTTTGGTATTGTTGTACTTCCAAATTCAAAAGGTCCAGAAGGATTGATCTGCTAAACCCAAGTTTTCCAGACTCAGGTCTGGTAGTCAATCCCTGGTCCATGATTTCATAGCACATAACCTTTTTCTTCAAAGGTTACCGTTAGGTGTTCCTAGCAGCCAGGTTGGTAAATCCCTTTTGCTCGAAAGATCTTTGTTATACAACTTCTCTAATTTTTTGGGGTCAAGTCGAATCTGTTCTGTAGTATTAGGTCATACTTGGTTAAATCAATCTACTACTTCCTTAATCAGGATTTGCCAAGCCAGTTTTGGTTCTCTCAGGCTACTATAGTAGATTTTGCGTCGATTTTGGATGACTAATCATGGGTTTGCACTGCCTATACTGGTTTGCATTCTCTTGTGCAATGACACAAATGCATTTAAGTTTCCTAGCACCAACTTGGGGCATTGGAGTGCCTATTTTTTTTTATTAATTATATTATTTTATAACTTTTTTATATAAAAATAGATAAGAGCTAACATTTTTGATAAAAAAAAAATCAAGAAAAAAACTTTTTTTAAAAAAAACAGATTTTAATTAATATCTTAATGAATTTAAAAGTTTAAAGCTTGCTACTATGCAAGTAACTAGCTATAGATTCAATAAAACTATATTTAAAATTTTATAAAAAAATAATTACTAAATAAAAAGTTATTAAATGTCAAAGTTGATATATTTGTGTTAAAATTATTAATTTACTATATATACTATATATAACTTATTAATAAAACAAAGCCTATTAATAAAATTTTTTATATTTTTTATAAAACAAATAATTAATAATAAAATTATTTTTTTTATTATCTAAAAAACAAATTGAATTAAAAAAAAAAAATTTAAAAATAAAAATTTTTTTTATTAATTGCTTACTATAAAATTTTTTATTTTTGAATAGGCTAAAATTTATTTAAAAAGTTTTTACTAATTGATTTTTTAGTTTTTATATAAAAGAATTAAATAAACTATATTAAACTCTTTTCTATCTTCCAAAAAATAAATTTGAATTGGATTAATTTAATATTAACCTCTAGTGAATTTCACCATGCAGATCATGTGTTACAGATAAGTAAATATATATTATGTTTCTTTTTCAGTTTTACTTATTATTAATTGTTATAATAATTAAATATACAGACCGGGTTAAGCTCACAAATTATAAGCCTGATCAACTAGTACAAATACAGTCCGGGTAACTTAACATTATATAAGTAAGTCTGCAAAGCTAAAACCTGCAAATCTTATCTAATAAGATTTGCAAGTTTTAGCTTTTGCAGCATCTAAGTTTTTTATACGTATAAGTATCTCTCAGATACAATTTATTTTTATTTACAGATTCGCAGAACTTTATTATGTAAAACTTCCATTGTAACGATTGTCACGGGTGGTAGACAATTAACTAATCAGAAAAATTTCTATCGATTAATTTGACAGAAAAATTATGTAATTAAAAATTGCGGTGAATTTCACCATGCCCGTATGTAAATAATGATGTAATTGATCTGTGCTATATAACGATAATGAGAGTGATTATAGATATGATCACGCTTTTTTCAAGTGTCTTGTGAATAGTAAAGACAAAATTCGTACAGTACATGATTAATCGAACAACTTTATTAATAAACGTATAAGAACGACTTACAAGAGTATCGCAACGGTTTAATATTAGCATTGATTATCGACTCAACCTAATGGATGATATTGACTGGAACTCATTTATAGCATTTCCTAATAATAGTGACTTAGAAGATATAAATCTTTTATTTTCCTTACCTTCTAAATCTTCTAATGAAAATTTTGCCGATATGAATTCTCCACCACCTTCTGGTTACGAAAATAATAGCCTAGTTAACACAAGTCTTTTTTTGCCACTCTCTGAATCTAACAATAATTGTCTACAAACTTCTATACATGGAAATACCTCATATGATCATAATAGCGATTATGACAATATCTCTTATTCTAAATCCTCTAACGATAATTTTGAAGATACGAATCTTTCACCACCTTCTGGTTACGTAGAAGAAAATAAGCTGGTTAATACAAGGCTTTTTTCACCACTTTCTGAATCTAACAATAATTGTCTACCAATTTCTATACACGGAAATAATGAGAATAATACCTCATTTAATGAACATGATAGCGACTTTGATAACACCGAAACAAGCATTTTGAGTAATGATAATTATGGAGATTTAAATACTTCAGGCTACCAATATAATCTTCGTTTGGGTAGCTGTTTTGATGATTGGTTATCTGTTGATAACTTTATACATAATTATTGTTTAGAACAAGGCTTTGGGTATCAAATTTTCCGTAATGATAAAGATCCAAATGATCCTACTATAATTCATCGCAAATCTTATCGTTGTTCTTCAAGTGGCATTTATGAAGCTCAAAAAGTAATTGATCAAAATTCACACCATCTACGTGGTACTACAAAAACAAATTGTGAATGGCATTGCAATTTTTCATTTCCAAAAACTTCTCATGAGATAAAATATACAATATTTCAAAATACACATAACCACGAAATTAATCCTGGGCAAGTCTCTGATGTTATCGCTAGATATCGACGTCTTAATAATGAAATGGTCCAAGACATTAAATTTTTTTTGGAATGCAAAGTGGCTCCTATTACTCAACTAGAGATACTTAAAAAGAAGTATCCGCAACATGTGTTTCATAAGCATGATGTATATAACACAATATATAAACTGTGCCAAAATAATGATGAGAGACTTGATTCTGTTTCTTTGCTTGACAGTCTTTTTGAAAAAATGTCCTCAGATCCATGCTGGAAAGTATTTATCAAACATTCTTGTAACAAACGTCGTTTGTCGGGTGTTTTTTGGATGTTACCTTTTCAGCAAGAACTATATTGGTGGTTTTCTGACGTAGTACTTAACGATAACATGTACAAGACGAATAAATACAACATATATTTAAGTGTTTTTATGGTTAAAGATAATTATGGAAGATTTAGAAATGTGGCAAATGCATTAGTGAAAGATGAACTTTCTTCAACATATGTTTGGATATTGGAATGCTTAACAAAAGCAACAAACGATATAGTTCCAAAGTCATTTTGGACTGATTCTGAGTCTGGTTTAATTAGCGCAGTTTCTCAAGTTTTTTCAAATACACCTCACTTTTATTGTTTGTTTCACATCTTGCAAAATATAATCAAACACCTTAGAGTATCTTTGGGTTCGAATTTCAATGAGTTTAAAAAAGCTTTTTTTTCATGTCGAAATGCGTTAAGCATAGAGGTTTTTGAACATCAATGGGAGTTTATGGTGAAGACATTTCCAGGATGTGACCGTTATATGACGAAAAAATTGTATGCTAATAGAATTAGTTGGGCTAAGGCTTATACGCCATTTTAATTCAATGCTGGCATTCAGAGCACTCAAAGTGTCGAATCATTTAACGGCATTATTAAAAAGTCTCTTAATAATACTAGCACACTTTGCGAAGTCGAAGAGGCAATCAATAAAAGACATGAAGCTGAAATTAGATATTGCAAGTTGACGGACATTAAGGCTCAGCATTCAATAATTGGACTTCCACATATTTCATCTCAATTCTTTTCAAATGTTGATACAGTTCTTGTTAATTTTTTAACACCTCTTATATTATCTTTACAACGTTTTCAAATTTCCCAATCTTTTACTTACGAAGGGCGATTAGAGCATTCAGTACCTGAAGTATGTTTTTTTTTTTTTAAATTAAAGTAATATACAGTAACATATACAGTATAAAAACTGAGATACTTGCTTATTCTATTGTAGGACTTGAATCTTGATATTATAAATGATAGTTTTATAGAGGATATGGTCGATGAACCACAAGCAACACTAAAGGCTCTTTTGGATGGTACTGATATGTCTATGATTGTTGAAGTATGGAGAATTCGCCGCATAGGAGGTTTTTCTCATAAAGATAATTTAGTAGTTCTTCTTAATGATGGAACACATATTTGTACTTGTATAGAAACAATTACAAGAGGAATTATTTGCCGTTATTTTTGGCGGTCATGCTTTATTCTAGTGTTGCGAAATTCCACATTAGTATTATACCAATCTGATGGTATAAGGATAATATTTTGGCGAAACTAAATGAAGTTCTTAAAAACTCTCCAGTGCTTACAGCCTTAAAACCATCAGCCGGTGATACAATTCAAGCAAATTTTACTCTTCAGAGTCTATGAAATTTTCAGAGTTCTGGTCACCAAACAAACATTTGGCAAGTCATTCCTCAGAGAAATTGATTTGGAATAGCTTTTTCAACGGCTAAAACTGCGATTAACATTGCATTGGAAATGAACTGTGATAATGAATTAGTTCAACTATTAAAAAACTTTATATTAACTAAACAAAATAGTCGCAATAAGAATGATACCTCAGAAGAGGCCGAAAGCAATAAAAATAATAACATTGACAATAGTATTATTACCTTGCAACAAAATTTGATTGATCAAACAAATGATCTACATGTTACTAAAATTCGAGGTGCTCCTAACAAGAAAAGAATCAAAAGCGCTATAGAAGTGTCGAAAAAGAAAAATATAATGCAGGAAATTACAAGTACAAATAATGTACAAGAAAATTATATTGAAGAATCAAGCTCAAGACCACAACGGAGATGCCTGTTATGTGGAACACCTGGCCATTATCAAAAAAAGTGTCCAAATACTAAAGAAAACTGATATTGTTCATATTGATGGACCTGAGTAGTGGATTCTTTTAATATGATATTACAATTTGCAATTTATTATCTTAGTTTGTCGAGTTTACATATTGCAAACAATGCAACTGTTCTATCAGAATTATTATGGGTTATGTGATAATTAGTTACTGTAAAGCTTATAAGTAGTTCTATATAGCATAAACTATAATACATAATTCATAAGATCGATGTTTTAACACTGCTTAAATTGTTAGTTATATGTAAAATCACTTATTTAGTCAATTAAGGCTAGAATTTTATTTTTTATTTTTTGCTTTCGTATATACGTATGTACTGTACGTACAATACAGTATATACATACATATGCGTGGAAATTTAAAAATCTCAAATTATCAATCTCAATAAAGTAAAGGAGAATTTTCAATCTCTTATATACTATTGTATTAATGTATTTAGTAGTATGCTTACTAAAATAAGTCGCTACTGAGAATGACAAATTTACCCTATCTCCAATATGTTAATTGATTGAGGTTTTTAAATTTTTTTGCATTGGGTTAGAGTTCCGGGACTATATAATAATAGCTAATTAGGAATAAGAAATGTTATTTAATATCTTACTCGATTGTCTGGTTCTATTTCAAAACTTCAGTAAGCCCTAATTGTAGGGATGTTAAATTGCGAATCCGGTCCGGTCCGATCCCAGGATCTATTAGGACGGTCCCGGACCTATTAATAAAAA